AATCACATATTTTCGTGGGTTCAAACTTTCATGGTTTGAGGAAAAAATTTGGTTCCTGGGAATTTGATTTTGTGGCTGAAGAATTGTTGAGTAGTTTTATATGTAACACTTTACATTTCGTGGAGGACATGAATTTGTGGGTCTCTCCACACCTCCAAAACAACAAAAATTAACCCCCCATGAAAATTTATGATTTTACAGTAAATGTGCATGTTCATACCCCTTTAAAATAAATGGAAAAGTCTGTCTTTTACCTGGAACTTTTTTTACCATCCCACAGCAGCTCCTTTCTTCAACTTGCATAATCTGCAACATAACAGTTATTTCATAAAAATTGTTTTCATCAATCATAGATAAAATCAGCCAATCAAAACAATTTATCAATAGTCAGACTTTTAACTTAAAGTTTTTTGTTTGTTTTTATGTTGTTTAATGTCCCTCTCAAGAATTTTTTCATTCATATGGAGATGCCATCATTTGCTGGTGGAGAGCTTTAAATTTATTCAATACTCAGCAAATATAGCCATTGAGCAGTGAGGGACCTTATTTGTGCCAGCACATACTGTGACACAGGACCTCGGTTTATACCGTTTCATCTGAATGTAGTAGTCCTGGAAGTGCTAGCCTCGGATTGCCATGCTACCTCTGATCACATGGTATATATGTCATGCACCTGCTGTTACGTGTACCTATCATCGCACACTTTTTCTGTTACCGGGTGCAGAGTACAGACAAATCTTTTCAGCTCCATCAATATTGTGCATTGTATATAGGGCTAATTGTAATCGGCGCGTCGGCGCGCTCGCGCAACAGATTTTGTATATAAAATTTATCGCTTATGCAATATTTGTCAGCATCGGGCTCGATATTCTATACTAATCAAAGTACTGAAAGTACCGATAGGAGTTGATTTTGACGATTTTCAATAAATTTAATGTTTGATACTTTTTTCACAACTTTTTCAAATTATGTTCATTTATGCTTCATAAGAAAGATGAAAGAATTACGCAAGTGAGTTAAGGCTACATATGGAGGTTTATATGCAAAATATCTAATTAAATTCCATAATTGCTCTACCTTCCGCACAGAACATGTTAAGTCTTGTTTTCTAATACATTCTTGGTACCCACGATAAGCGATTACCAGTACACATTATGACGTCATATTATGACGTCATCGACCTCTACTACACAAGTTTATAAGAAACATCAACAAAATCGCCTCGGCGCAAGGGCATACCTTACTTTGTTTAACAGAAACAAGGCCTAAATAGACGCAGGATATTCAAAGGAATTAAGATATTGCTGCACAAATGTCGGCACTGCAATTGTTTGGTTACTATTCGTGCAGTTTTAAGTTTAAATAGGGGAAAAATTCACAGTCCAGTGTACGTTTCCTAAAATTTTTATCGATTGAGAAAGTGCATAGGATTTGTGCAGCAATTTTATTAATTTTAAGAACATTCTCCTTAATATTATACATGGTTTATTTTAAATTAGATAGGATATGCCCTTGCGCCGACGTTATTTTGTTGATGTGATTCATTAACTTGAATTGGAGAGAACAATGACGTCATAATATGACGTCATAATGTGCACTTGCATTAATAAACTGTGGGTACTAAGTATGTATAAGAAAATCTATTTGAACTTTCTCTGTACACAAAATATACGATTTATGAATTTTTATTAGCTCATTTGCATAGAAATATCCAATTTTAGCCTTAACTCACTTGCGTAAATGAAAAAAGATTCTGCAGAGTCAAAAAGGTAAGGTTGTTTTGATCACCATAACCTTAGAATAATATGCCAAAAAAGTAAGACTTTTCCTTTGTTCTATTATTTTCAATAAATTTTAAAGTATTTTCTGATCTAAAGTGTGTTTAAAAGGGCTATTAATAGCAAAACCATTTCTGTAACTAAAGTTGCTCCCCATCCTCTAATAAAGACAAGTCAATCTTTAGTAGTATTATTTTTAAAAGTAACAAGGCATCTTGTTCAAACACTTATACCAATGTATGGTAGCTTATTGCCATGAAAATCAAGTCTTTTAAGGTTAAACTCTAGAGTATAGGGTCATAATGTAATACTGGTAATTTTAATTTGTTACATTGGCATCGGAAGCAAATTGAAAGAGGGGGGGGGGGGGTAAGTGAAAGAAAAAAAAATAAATTTCGAACCTGAAAGATCTTAGCAAGCAACCCCCCCGCCCCCCCCCCCCCCCCCCCCCCCCCCCAAAAAAAAAAAAAAAAAAAAAAACGTAAAATGTGTCTATTGTCCAAACAAGAATATCCTATTTCGTGAGGGGGGGGGGGGACTTCTTTTAGTACCAATTTTTTTCTTTCAAACATTACCACTTACACTATCACTTACCCTTCTTCTAGGACTACACTGCCTTGCCTGATGAGAGTTAGGGGAGTGGGGACTAAATGAACCTACACCCCAATGTTGAATACATATGATGTCCATCTTTATAAGCCCCCCCCCCCCCCCCCCCACCCCCACCCCCCGATTCCAATGCCTATGTGTTATGCAAAAAGTTGATTTATAAAAACAAAAGCACTCAATGTTTTTTTTTTATGCTATAGTTAAAGTTTGGAGATATAACTATTAATATATAATATGTATGTAGAGAGAGAGAGAAAAGAGCGAATAGGTCAACTGAAAAAATGCAGTAATTTTCAGATTACACTTGCACAAATCGTGGTTAGACATACATGGATCAAAGGGGATCCGGATCCCTGGAAAATTCTATTTTTTTAAATTAACATAGTAAAATTACTAAAGCTATTTCTCATATCCTTTTCCCCTTCCGATCTGAGCCACCACCTCCTAAAGAAAATTTTCTGGATCCACCTAACCAAAAAAATACAATCGGGCTCGGGGTGTCGACTTGAATATAGCCGATAATGCTTAAATAATAAATAAAATCGCTGTCATTTGAGTGTTTTAATGCAGGGAGAAAATGCTTGTGTGATATTGGGATGAGATGGACGCGCTGGCGCGCCGACGCGCAGACGCGCCGATTACAATTAGCCGTATATAGTAAATTACATATGAAGGACTGGTCTCCATGTCCCACAGTGGGAACCCACGACATAAGGATCAACTCTTAACTTTGCAACTTTAGAGCAGACAGTCTAATATGGGCAACTCAACTGACACAAGTCGCAATGTAAATAACAATAGATCTCAATGTAAATAACTTACTTCAGAGAAAATTCAAGTTAAAACTGTAAAGTACAATTAAGCTATTAAAAAACTATTACAAATATCTGTTAGTAAATATATACACTATTTCATTCAATTTAACGCCACTTTATCTAGATTTGGAACATAAATTCACAATGCAATGGCATGCATTGATGCAATCTCAATCTCCTATACAAAAGTACAGAGATAATTCGAACTAGTTCTTCCGAAGCTGTCGTTTAATAACAGCATACTGACAGCTGATTTCTGAGACATTTCCTTTATCGAATGAATGGAATTCACTTCCTTGTACATTAATATAACAAAATCATCTTTACTTACCGGCAAACCGCCTGCCTTTCACTGGCGCCGTACTCAGGGAAGCACATGGTCTTAAACCACGTGATTGTCTTCGGCAGACAAACGTTTACTTTTTCAAGCGTCCAAATAATAATAATCTTTCCCAAAGAAAATCTGACAAGATTATAATTGTTCAGTACATCAAAATCACACAAACGTTTGATTTCAAGCGTCTAAATAATAATAATGTTGCAACTTTTTTGGTCGCGATTATTACTGTTGGAGAGACAGATTATAATTGTATGATCGATGTGGAATATAATTATTATAAATTTGAAGCGAAATAAAAATAATGTGTTCGCTCGGACAAACAAGATTATAATTGTTAAAAGTAAGAATAATTATTATAATTTTGAGGTGAAATGAAAATAATGTTTTAAAACATCGACTGACAAGATTATAATCATGAGGCGAAAAAATATAATAATGTGTCCACATTGACTGGCAAGATTATTATTGTGAAGTGAATCATTATAATTGTAGGACAAAATAAAAATAATGTGTACACATTTAACAGACAAGATTATAATTGTTGTAGGAAAATAATAATAATGTTGTAAAAAGCAAGTTTGGATGAGATAATTATTTTTGGTATAGATATATAGGAAAATATAATAATAATGTGGGGGTACCCTACGGCTTTCCATACTTTCTGAGAACTCTTTATCAGGAAATTTACATGCCAGTAACATAAGAATCATATCGTGGTCATACCCATCATTTTTCATCGTAAACGATAACATGGAGGCAGTTCTCTTTGAAAAAAAATATGTTAAATTGTTCTTTAATATTTCACATTCTTAAGGCCTAAATAAATGATATCTAATAATGAGATCTCTTAGATAAAGAGTGAGAGCCACTTAAAGCGTTTCTGGCCCTGAGAATTTCTTTAAAAAAATGTATACATTAAACATGACGTGATTTTCCCTCAAGTCAATGCATTATGACGTCAAAAAATACGTAATTTTTCCCATATCCTGTAAATTCGTTTGAAATAACCTAAAGGTGAACCATTTTTTTCATTATTTCATATAGAGCACAACCTCTGATCTAAAAGATACATTTACATTAAAAAAGATCTGTTTCTGAAGATTAAAAAGAAACATGTTTTAATTTTGGAATATTGGGCTGTGCTCATATCTTAATTCTTTGCTGAAGGTAGTCAAATACGCGTGTTTTTTTTTTTTTTTGCAAAATTCAAGAACATTGCATTAGATCAAAACCTATATTCTAATACTTCTTGTACGTAGATTCTCGAAATAATTCTTCAGGAACAGAAAGCGCTAAGTCTCTATTTTGATATATGAAATGGGAAAGAAAGTGATAGTTTATTAATTGATATTTGGAGAGGAACCATTTTAGGCATAACAAGTACCTAGTTCTTCCCTTAAGTATTGCAAGGTAAAGGTAAAAGGTATATTCTTTTGTTTCCGTGAATATTGTATTTACCATATTTGCCGTATATTTTGCAAACTGTCTGGCCTCATGGTGATAAACAAGCTTTCCTCCCCTTGACTGGGCACTCAAAAATTCCAGTAATATCTGTTGAATATAGATATTTAAAAATCCGACAGCGTAAGATTAAAATCTCTTTTCATCGAAAGAAGAAAAAATATCAATTTCAAAAATTAAATGCACAGTACCAGGTCGGGGTTTCGTCCAACAGGTATGCAGAAGATAGGATGAAAATTTCCAACATTTTTTGTAAACTGCAGCAAATGGTTTTTGTCCTTACCATTGAAGTATATAATTAATAAACGTGTAAATAAAAGACACCTCTAAAATGATTATCTATGATGATTGATTCATTGCATTTTGCTTTACTTCTCATTAGAAAATTATTCATTCACATAGAGACATTCTTATGATAACTAAGATTCCAATAAAAAAAAAATAATTGTTTAAATTAATCGATCATGATATCGAAGAACTTTTTTTCGTGTTCATACCTCTACAGATTCAAATACTGGGGAATCATCAATATCAATGTTATTGATGGCCGTAAAATCTGTGGGTTTTCCATCCGAAATGAGAATTATTCTCGGACGAACGTGAAATTCCCCAAACCTTCGTGTATACCCTGTCGATGGAATTGAACGTTGTAGCAAAGTTTTGATTAGTGAATTACTTTCACAATTAAAATATTCGTATATTAGAATAAGTAAATATCTTCTAAACAAATCAAATAAACTGTCTTGCATACATGCATATATATCTTCGACTATAGCGTCTGTTTATAAGTACATGTATATATAATAAACAAGAGGCCCATGGGCCACATCGCTCATCTGAGCACTGTGGCTAGGAAAAAGTAGAAATTGATGTATTATTGAATAGTTTAAATCCAAAAAGTAGTCCCATGACCAATCATGGCTTTGCTATTCTTGATAAGATGATTTTTAAAGAATTTTCCTATACATGTCTATGTAAAACTTTGATTGGCCATTGTGGCCCCGCCCTACCACCGGGGGTCATGATTTGAAGAAACTTGAATCTTCACTACCTGAGGATGCTTCCATAAAAATATGATCAAATATGGCTTTGTTATTCTTGAGAAGAAGATTATTAAAGAATTTTCCTATATATTTCTACGTTAAACTTTGGTAGGCCATTGTGGCCCCGCCCTACCCTCGGGGGTCATGATTTGAACAAACTTGAATCTACACCACACGAGGATGCTTCCATATAAATATGATCAACTATGGCTTTGTTATTCTTGAGACGAAGATTTTTAAAGAATTTTCCTATATATCTTTATGTAAAACTTTGGTCGGCAATTGTGCCCCCGCGCTACCCCCAGGGGTCATGATTTGAACAAACTTGAATCTACACTACCTGAGGATGATTCCAAATAAATATAATCAATTATGACTTTGTTATTCTTGAGAAGAAGGTTTTTAAAGAATTTTCCTATATATTTTTATATAAAACTTTGGTCGGCCATTTTGGCTCCGCCCAACCCCCGGGGGTTATGATTTGAACAAACTTGAATCTACTTAACATGAGGATGCTTCCAAATAAATATGATCAATTATGGCTTTGTTATACTTAAGAAAAAGATTTTTAAAGAATTTTCCTATATATTCCCATGTAAAACTTTGGTCGGCCATTGTGGCCCCGCTCTACCCCCGGGGGTTATGATTTGAACATACTTGAATTTACGCTACCTGAGGATGTTTCCCCATAAGTTTCATCTTTGAGAAGAGGATTTTTAAAACATACTACCAATTTTTCATTAATTCCCAATTTTCTCCCCTTGGATGACGGCGTGGCCGTTCATTTAAACAAACTTGAATTCCCTTCCCAAGGATGCTTTGTGGCTAGTTTAGTTGAAATTGGCCCAGCGGTTCTTGAGAAGAAGTCGAAAATGTGAAAAGTTTACAACGACGACGACAACAACGACGACGACGACAGACAACGGACAAATTGTGATCAGAAAAGCTCACTTGAGCCTTTGGCTGAGGTGAGCTAATAAAAAAACAAGAAAATTAACAAACAAAGATGAATATAAAAAAATCTATAGAAATAAATCACCATTTCCATGTACATGTAGTAAGCATCCTGTAGATAGAATAAATGCCGCGGTTAGCGGGCTTGGTCCACCATATTCGACGTCATCTGAAAAAAATAAAACGTCGGTGAATGATGCGTTAACCTTATGAATGTTTTATTTTAAACTTAAACAGGATCACCAACTTAATTTTTGCTGTAAACTTTAAAGGTTTTCATTCAGTTATAAAAATAAAGACAACTGTCATTTAAAGGGATACATTGAGTCCACATTAAAACAAGAGGCCCATGGGCCTTATAGGTCACCTGAGTAACCCGAAACAACTTTCCAACAATTGAATTTGATTCGTGTTTTAAACCAGAGGCCATGAAATTCACAATTTTGAACGAGGCACCATTGCTTATCATAATTATACACTTAGCATGCTTACTTTGGTTACTTAATATACACAGGTAGATCAGAATAATAAAGAGAAAATGCATGTCCACTTTGTAACCAGTTGTGCACCCCATCCCACAGGAACCACTGACCCTGGGGCAACATATTTCAAAAGTTTGGAAATTTTATCATGAATTTTAGTTCATCATAAATTGTTGATTATTACCAAAGTGCAAATTTCAAAGCATTAATTTATTTTCAGACTATTTACCCTCCCCCTCCAAATACCTTTGACCCAGGGGCCCTGAATTTAATCAGTTTTTAAGAAACAGCTTTCTTCATCATAACTATGTACTTAGATCAGTAGCATGATAATACCCAGGAGCAAAGGAAAAGAATTTCAAAGAATTCATGCATTTTCATTATATAAACATTAGAGTCCCACCCTAACACAAGACGCCCTGACCCAGGGGCCCTGAGATTCAAAAAATCTCAAAAAGGCATCCTTCTTCCTCATAAGTATGTACATAGTTCATTGGTTTAATATCCAGGCGCAGAAAAAAAGATTTTCAAAGAAATAATTCATTTTCACTATAAATTCTTTATAGCCCCGCCTTAGCACTAGAACCTCTGACCCTTGGGCCATAAAATTCACTATGAATTTTGAAAGAGGCAGTCTTATATAACATAACTATGCACTTGGTTAGGTTATTGAAAGCCACTGAGAAGAGAAGAAGAATTTCTAAGAATTTATATATTTTCACCATTTAATCTATAAAGCCCCCCTCCCGAGCACTAGAACCCCTGACCCTGTGGTCATGAAATTTACAATTTTGGAAGAGACAGCCTTATTCAGCATAACTATGCACTTGGTTAGTGTATTCAATGCCCATGAGCAGAGAGGAAGAATTTTAAAGAATTTGTGCATTTTCACTATATAATCTATATAGCCCCGCCCTAGCACTAGAACCCGTAACCCTCGGGTCATGAGATTCACAATTTTGAAAGAGGCAGCCATATTCAACTTAACTATGTATTTGGTTAGGTTATTTGATGCCCAGGAGCAGAAAAGAAGAATTTCAAAGAAATAATTCATTTTCACTATACAATCTATTTATTCCCGCCCTAGCACTAGAACCCCTGACCCTGGGGCCATGAATTTCATAATTTTGGTAGAGGACTCACTGCTAATTACAATCATACCAACAGTTTGACTGCTTGATGCCCAGGAGTAAAGAAGATTTTCAATGATTGCACTAATTTTAGTGGTTTTGGCCCCACCCCCCAGGACCCAGGGAGACAGGGACCTTGAAATTCCTAATTTTTGTTTTCCTTCACCCACAGATGCTATATGCCGAAATTGGTTGAAATTGGTTCAGTGGTTTCAAAGAAGAACCTGTAAGTGTTCAAATGTTGACGCACGACACACGTCGCACGACGACGAACGAAAACGGATAGCAATAGGTCACCTGAGTTTACTCAAGTGACCTAAAATGTTTACTGATGATATGTATCAGATCAGTATCTTTTACCTAGGCAATGTTTCATGTCGGAGTACTGGTTTGAGTAATAACGCTGGAATTTAGTGTTTCTTCCACATATTATAACTGCTACATTTTCGTCAAAGTCTGGATGGTTTGCATACTCTAAAAAAATTAAATTACATATTATCAACGTTTTCCCATGATTTTTCTCAGAGCCAAAGAAACAAGAAATTTTAAAGAGCAAAGTATATTCAATCGCTTTGAAAGAGCTGTATAAAAAAACATCCAGCTAACAATTTTTGATTTATATCGGTCATCTTCATGAAGTTATTTATATTTGTGTTATTCCTATGTCATGTATCTCTCTCGAGTGTTTCTATATCAATGTACACTTTTTCACAAACACTAGAAAAAGTATATTTTAAAGGAACTTACCATCAATAATTGTACAAAATACTTCTTTTAATTGATCGAACCCCTCCTTCCCAAGACTTGAAGATGTGTCCAAAATAAAAATATTGCTTGGGCCTTTTCCATGTTGATGAATTAATTCAAAATCTAGAAATGTATTACAATTAATCAAAAAAAAAAAACCAAAACAAAACAAAACAAAAAACAAAAAAACAGAACAAAATACGAGTTATTAATGTTCATGTGAGATCAATGTTTTGTAGATTTTTTCGTTCACCCCTATCCACGGGACGGGTTTACATCCCAGTCACGACCAATAAACTATAATTTGTAAACATGTTTTTTATCGGATTTATTGTAAGTACAAGTTACCCACAATATAACGTCATCATGGCCCCTAAATTGATTGTCTACAAACGTTCTAATTGATCTATTCTTATAGTTTAAAAGCATTTCATTAATTATTTAAAAGAGACCTTAAATCGAACAATGGTCTCATTTTTAAAACTTTCTTATGCGTTATTTTTGTCCTTTTCAACATTTTTATTTCATGGATATAGGTATGATAAGAAATTCAATGTTACTATTGATTTTTTTTATAATAATGATTGTATACTATAAGTGCATATATAGCTAATCTATTCCTAACTCACCTTTCAAACACACTCCTACATACATGCATCTACTGCATGGCGTCTTTTGACGCTTAACAACCTAGATGAGCTAAAATGATGATTAGGATCATAGCTAGAGTATTACATATGTACTTACTTTTCTGAGCTTCGAATTGGGCTTGTTCATGCCAAAATTCCTGCGCTCTTTTAAACTCGAGGGACATCTACACCATATTAGATACATAAAGATGTATTATCTTTATTACTGCTGATTACGTTTTTATTTGTGAAATATAAATTAGTTTATAATGCATAATACATCTTTTAAATTTAATCCAAAATAATTATTCTCCTAAATATTTTAGTTAATAGCGTACAGAAAATGTTAAAATGGCCCTATTGTCACCAGATGCCTGACATCAAACTAAAACATATTTGCCTCAAAAGCTATATATATATATGAACTTATCTTTAAAATAGCTGCGTCTTATTCATCTACTCAATAATCTAATACAAAATGTTTAAATTGAAAAGAATTTTTGATACAATGCAAATACATTGTCAGGTTAAAATAAATGTGAACAATTGTCCAAGCAATAATGTAATATTCTTTTGAAAAAATATAAATTAAAATAAAATATCAATCTCACACTGAAAGAATTTACTTAGCCTTTGCACTGTTTACTCAATATATCCAATTTCCTTGTTCCTATTTCCTTGTTTTGATTAATTATATATGCTAGATATATGATGCTTGATGGTTTAGATATTTTCTTTTCAGGAAAATATATGTAATAATTAGTTTGCAAGAGTTATATAAATAAACTCGATATATTGATAGCTTGTTCTAAATAAAACCTATTAAGAGTTTTATTTCAAGAGGCAAAAAACACAATAATAAAAAAGATAAGTTTTTTTCCTGCAAAAAAGAACTTTCAGCGTACCCTACAATAACCAGTCAGTCAGTCCGTCTGTACCTCCTATATCGCGATATCCGAAATACTTTACCAATGCAGTACTAGTATATCGCAGATTAACAGTGTGTACAATAACATACGGCCAATTTTGCTGGCATTAGGTTAAAGTTAACACAAATTTTCATGTATATCCCTGAAGTGAATACACCTTCTTTATTACCTCTGTCCAATGTGGTTCAGTTTAATCGAAGAGTTGGTGAGGGTGAAAGTAAAAATGGTTCACTTTATAACAATAGAAGAGGAAAAATTGACGTCTTGTGGCAATCACAAGGCTCTGAAAACATTTTTCTAAAAAACCGTGCCATATTTAGTAAATGTCAAATGTATAGTTGCATACATGCATTGAAAAAATTGATAAGTTAGTTATTTAGTAAGTTTTTTTTCAAAAATGAAATACAGATTTTTTTATTACTTAATTTTTTTTTTCATTTTTTTGTTCGTTAATTCTGATAATTTAACAAGGTCATCGATTTGATAATGATAATACAAAAAAATTTTATATAATGTAAAATTGGAGATAAAAACACTGACTGATGAAGGAATCGTGAACAGGACAAATACATAGGTAACTGATTACATTAGAGGTGGGGTCAGGCGCTTAGAAGGAGTAAGCTACACCTCTATAAGACATACCAGCAGGAAAAAAGTATGTTTTGAATTAATATACTTCTAATGTTAAAGTTTTGATATTCTTAAACTTCAAAAAGTTTTCTAATCCATATTCGATATACACCACTTCTTGAATATATTGTAGTTTAACTTAACTAAATCATTTAGTTACTGATAGCCGTCTTCCCTGGAGACGCAAACGACAAACGACAAACGCATACACATACAAAAACCAATTACGATGAAATGTATTTTTTATTTACTAGTTTTTAACAATTTTGACTTCTGATTCCTCTCTTGTCGTCAAGTTTATTTGTATACATTTCGCCATGACTACCCTGTATCTAAAATAAAACATTATATCTATTTGTTTTTTGATTTTAAAATTTCAAGTCGTTATCTATTGTTTTTAATTCTTTTGTTTTGTTTTTGTATTTTTTACAACGAACTTTTCACTTACGTATTTTCTTTGATTGTGACAATAACAGTAGAATTAGGATTTCGTTTATAACTTCTATGAATTTTATCATTCATTTTTCTTGGATACGGGTTCCATTGGCCTTGTTTGTCTTTCCATAGCCATTGATCTGGTACAGAAAAAGTTAATGAATCTAACATCTCATCAGCTTCTACATCAGTTAATTTGTCTTCAAATCTGTCGTTTTTGAAATATTTCCCTTTAGGCATTGTCAAGGGTAAAAGTCTGGCATTGGAATTTTTGCAAATCTTGCTGGATTTAATATCAACATCATTTTCAGATGCACAAGCTGCTATGTGAAACGAAAAGAAATCTCAATTATAATTTTTTCAAAAGAAAAAATGTGTTGGTTTAATTTAAAGAAATGTACAACATCATGAACTAAGGTAAGAATTTTTTTTAGAAACGCACCTTTTGAAGGAGAACTTTCAGATTGTTCAACAGATGACTCACTAAGTTCCGCCTTTCTGATTTGTTCTTGGAGATACTCAACAGCTTCCGCTGAGAATGGATCGCTGTTTAAATACTGGTACTTAATAATTATGATTTTATACAAGAACATAAATTATGAATGATAGATTAAATAGCTACTCAAATTATAATTGTGAATCCTGAGTTGGAAAAGTTTTAGCGTAATAAATCAATTTTGGATCTTTCCCAAATAAATTAAGAAAGTATAACTTGTGAAGCTGTTACTAGAAATTAGCAAAATCAGTTAATACAATGGGCCTTTATCTGAATACAACTGAACATGGCGGAATAATATGTAATGCATTAGGGATGGATATTTACCAGACCCGTAGATCGAATCTCCCACGAAATCCAAATCTGTTTTCTGTTGTTTGCCCGTTTTGCCATCGCACCTGTTAGAGAACATAATTGTTATTTGTGTCTATTTATGAAAATTGAGTAAGAATTGAAACTTGTCAGACATTCATCATTTGTCATGTGAAATGGATGGATCCGACTTTGACAGAACAAATGCAGTAAACCCGTGTTTTTGAAAGTTCAAGTTCATTTACCTGTTCAGTATAATAAATATGAATTTTAAACTTTTAAAAAATTAACCATAATTATAATTTGGATAAAGTCCAAATGTTATTTTCAAAAATACATCTGTGACAGAAAAGAGTAAACTATTAACAAAGCTATAAACCAATTTTTATTCGCGTGAGAGGAATTTTCGTGAACTTCGCGACAGCCTCGTCACCGCGAATAATTTTTCACCGCGAACCGGAATCCGCGAATCTCGTTTATTTACAACAGATCTAAAATGGCCTGATCGCGAAAATTATTTGTCGCCAACTAGTTCCCCCCTTGTAAATCGCGAAATAAAGTCGTTGCGAATAAAAGTTGGTTTACATTATCATGAACGCACAAGGACGATTCCATTGTGTTTACGTCTGTAAACTGATCCTATACTCCCGGTACTCTTTTCCTGGTCTCTCCAATCCCAGTCTGGGCCTAGTTAAAATTCACATTATTATAAAAGATTTCCTAACAATCAGCTATTGTGAGACTGATGAATGCCTTAAAATGCATTATATATACACAGTTTTATTTCCTAGAGAAGTTCTGGCACTACTGCTGGTGCAGTGTGATATTTTCAGACAACCTTATCCTAGCCGCATATAGTAGACATTATGTATTACATTTTATGCTTTTTAGAAACTAGTCATTTTATCATTGTTACCTTTTTTGACGAGAGAACCAACAGCAATAGGTTCTTTGTTCAAAATTCTAGGTTCGTTACATAAAGTTACATCATATTTATCTATTATAGGTCCGTATCTGTATGGGTATCTCGAGCCAGTGTCCCATTCTACATATAAGAAGCCAACTGAAAGAGAACATCGGTAATCTCTTAAAATAGGTATATTTTGATATTGTCAGAGAGAAAGATCTTTTGGAAAGTAATTTATAATCATAAAATCACAGTTTGACATTGTTAAAAAATGGATGATCATAAAGATATATTTTATGAAAATGCCCATAGAAGTGCAGAATCAGTTTTGCTATTAATGATTTTCTACACTTACACTTTTACGTGTAAATGGTATAATACAAACGAGTTCATACCTCAAGTCTTTTAATTATTTTAATTCTGTTGTTTATGTTAATTCATGTGCGTTTTTAAACATAAACAAGAGGCCCACGGGCCTTATAGGTCACCTGAGTATTGTGCAACAACTTTCCAACAATTAAATTTGATTTGTGTTTTAAACCAGAGGCCATGAAATTCGCAATTCACAATTTTGAAAGAGACACCATTGCTTATCATAATTATAGACTTAGCATGCTTACTCTACTTACTTAATACCCAGAGGTAGATCAGAGTAACATTTTAAGAGAAAATGCACTTCCACTTTATAACCAGTTGTGCACCTCATCCCAAATTAACCACTGACCCTGGGGCCACATATTTCAAAATTTTGCAAAAATCAAGGCATTAATTTATTTTCAGACTATGTAACCCCCCCACCCAGGGAGGGGTGCATAAAAAATAACCATTTTCTAGATGCACCTTTCTTAATCATAAATATATATACTTGGATCATTGGCATAAAACCCAGGAGCAAAGGAAAGATTTTCAAAGAATTAATGTATTTTCACTATATAATCAATAGAACCCCGCCCTAACACCAGAACCCATGACCTTGGGGCCATAAAATACACAATTGTGAAAGAGGCACTCTTGCTTATCATAACTATGTACTTAGTTAGTTTATTTAATACCCAGGGGCAAAGAAGATTTTCAAAGAATTAATGCATTTTCACTATATGATCAATAGAGCCCCGCCCTAACACCAGAACCCATGACCCTGGGGCCATAAAATTCACAATTTTGGAAGAGGCACTCTTGCTCATCATAACTATGTGCTTGGTTAGATTACTTAATACCCAGGAGCAGAGAAGAAGATTTTCCAAGAAATCATGCATTTTCATTATATAATCTATATAGCCCTGCCCTAGCACTAGAACTCCTGACCCTGGGGCCATGAATTTCACAATTTGGTGGAGAACTCAATGCTCATAACATTCATGCCAACAGTTTGCCTGCTTGATGTCCAGGAGTAAAGAAGAAGATTTTTAAAGATTGCAATAATTTTAGTGGTTTTGGCCCCAGGGGGGCGGGGACCATAAAATTAATAATTTTTGTTTCCCTTTACCCATAGATGCTTTGTGCCAAATTTGGTTGAAATTGGTTCAGTGGTTTCAGAGAAAAAGCTGAAAATGTTCAAATGTTAACACACGACGCACGACACACGACGACGGACGAAAACGGATAGCAATAGGTCACCTGAGTTACTCAGGTAACCTAAAAATGAGATTTACTTTTTTCTGAATGTCCAATAACCGTTCCTGGCCCATTTTTATCCTGATTATTATATTTCCAATCACGTCCACGTTTTACTCTACTCCCCAAAGGAAGCATTCCTGGATCTCTTTCTTGGAATATGTAATTCATTTCATCATCAAGTTCTGTACATATATCATCCCACGATTTATAAAGTGACTTCTTTGAGCATATTTCGACTATATCTTTCTAAAAATGTATTTATATTTCAGTCATTTAAAGAGTTTTAAGATGTATTTGAGTTTGAAATTAAAACAAGAGGCCCATGGACCACAACGCGTAACTGAGTAACATTGGCCAAGCTGTTCTCCACCAGATGCCCCCCTCCCCCCCTTGTAAAACCTATTGTAACAATTTCTAATTTACATTACCCAAAGATACTTCCTCAAAATTTTCAGCTTTTCTGGCCCTGTTGTTCATGAGTAGAGGATTTTTTCCAGTAACCCCATCCTATTTTTTGTTATTTCTTGACTATTTTCCCTTGTTAGTGTCTTTGTCTTTCATTTTAACAAGTTACACTCCCCTTCTTCTAACAATACTTTGTACCAAGTATGGTTAAAATTGGCCAAGTGGTTCTTGAGAAGAAGTTAAAAATGTGAAAAGTTTACATACGGACGATCGACAACAGCTGATCAAAAACTCACTTAAATTTTCAGCGCAGGTGAGCTACAAAAGAATGATGATCAGAAAAGGTCACTTGCTTTCACCTCAGATGAGCTAAAAGATGATTGATAGTACATATGATAAAGTTTGAAAGGTAACAATAATTCTTTTTTTAGTTATTTTTGTATAAGAATGATAAATATTTTATAAACATTTTACCTGATCAAGTTCTGAAAAGTCTCTTTCAGGGAATTTGCAAGCCAGCAATGTCAGAATCATTTCTCGATCAAAACCATCATTTTTCATTGTAAACGATAACACAGAAGCAGTTTTCTAGACCAAATTTTGATTAAAATAAATAAATATATTTGTAAACGTTTCAGAAAATAAAATTAATTCAAAGAAAACTTTCAAATTTATTTTGGCTTTTTAACTTACAATATTTTCAGAATACTTTGCGATCTGTCTTGCTTCCTCGGGATATACAATCTTCCCTCCCCTGGACTGAGCAGACATGAAATCTAGAGTTACCTACGAATAAATAGACAACATTACCTCTAATCACTTCAATTTGTGTCACGTATAATTAAATTTTAAAGGTATTTACAGAACATGAAAATATGTAAGCTTACGTAATGTTTCATAATCATACATAAAAATGAGTACCAGATCAAGGTTACTTCCCACAGGGATGCAAAAGATAGGATGTACATTTCCAATACCTCTCGTATAATCAAGCATCCGAGTCTTATCCTGAAAAAAAGTTCACAGAATGACAATTGACGATATATGAAAACCATATATATAATACAATATATACAATCAACAACGATGCTTCCTATTTTGTTTTATGGGCTTCTGATCTTGAATACTGCTCGTTATCGCCATATGTTTCATTATATGAACCATGAAATGTAAAGATAACGAACATTTTAAATGTCCATTTCAACAAATGATCAGCAGAACCGACGCAAAATTCTAATAATAGTGGTAGGATCAGCTGTCATTTGGAATTCAGCATCTCTTGTTCAGAAAATTAACTTCTCAAAGCAGAGAGAGAGAGAGAGAGAGAGAGAGAGAGAGAGAGAGAGAGAGAGAGAGAGAGAGAGAGTTTTACTGACTACTGAAAAATGCTATACCAGGTACATTTTGGGTCATTCTAAATGATTTAAGTACTTGTTGTAATTTTTATCCAAATCTGCAGATCACATGTGAGGCTCAACTTAAGTTGTAGGAAAAGGAACATGAATAATGGTTTGTGAAGCGATCTTTCTATGGCTTCAAATTGTTGTAAATATTAAGAAGTTGCCGAAATTTATGGTATGCGATGGATCAAAATTGAGAGAAAAGCCCTTGTTAGGTTGATAATTTGTCTGAATGGATTTCATGAAATATATGGAGATAACAAACAGTATTCAAGCTCAAAAATCCATAAAACAATACAAAATTAGAGCGGAGCAAACATGTATCTCCAAAACATCAGAGGTGTGATCAAGCGCCATGGAGGAATAAGCATTCCCTGCCGACCGGTCACACCAACCGTGTGCTCCTTGTCATGGTTTTGAAATAACAAAAAAATTCGTCAACAATTCAGTGTGTAAATAATGGCCTAAAAATTAGAATTTAAAAAGTCAGTCACATTTCACTTAATGAGAAATTGTATTTCCTGACAAGGTCATTGTTTCAAGAAAAGAACTTAAGAAATGATGACTATAAACGAGACTGTTGATATTCGTTTCAGCCATCTGATTGTCAATAATTCACCTCAGTATTATAAAGACTACCTCTTCGGTTTCATACGCCGATGAATCTTCAACTTCATCAGTAGCACTTAAATCAGTTGGTCTACCGTCCGAAATAAGTATTATTCTTGGGTGAACATGAAAGTCTCCTATTCCCTTGGTATGACCTATTTGAGAATGGTTCAAAGCTTTCAATATAAAAGTTACCAAGAATATGATGCAACGTGTTGCGAAGTATTTTTTGAGTCGATCATTCTTTATGTGTGAGAAATAATGTTGCAATTTGACACGTTATACTTCATTATCCTATAGATTTAGTTTTTTTTAAGAAAGGAAGAGCACCTTTCGATATTAATTATCATAATTAACAAGTACTTGTACATTAAGGCAACATTTTGTTTATATAGTTAAAATTTAATTTTTAAAGGGTGTTCGATCTGAATCCAAGTCGACAGAGAACCTTGGCTTGCGAAGAAACGACATATTTGTTAAAAAATATTGGACACAATATTTTGTGAATAGTAAATGAAATGATTCTTATTTTAAAAGATATAAACAGTAACAATATTAACTAACCTACTTCACGTCTTAGGCACGCTGTGGCTAAGATGAATGCTGCTGTCAGTGGTGTTGGTCCTCCAAATTCAATGTCATCTGAACAAAGAATCTAAATATTATTCAAATATTGGATTTGAGTATATATAAGCAAGATAGTCTTTGTATTAGATAAAGTGGTATATTTGTATTTCTTAATCTTAATCTTATGAGATACCTAGGCATTGTTTTATATCCATGTATTGATTTGAATAATAGCGTTGAAATCTTGTGTGTTTTCCACATAATATAACAGCTACATTTTCATCGATGTCCGGATGGTTTGTGCATTCTAAAAAAAATCTTTCAGAGTTATTGTATTATGCAAATCAATATTCAAACATTATTTTTAATTTTTCAGTTTTTTAAAACAAAAAGTATTATCATTATTATTATTAAACATTTCTTTTCTAAAGAATTTAAGTAGAACTAACAGGCAAATCGTATACTAAAGCCCCGAAGGCATCTTCGAGATTCGAAGCTCAAACTTCGAAATTCAAGATGAAATAAAACCATTCAAAGCGTGGGTTCAATATTTTATTGATCTTAATCTATTTTTCTAATTTCTGACTATGTAGAAATCCTTGTATACGATAAGCAGGCTATTTTTTTTTAATTATTACAACATTAAAAAAATATAACATATAATTATTAAATTGTGCAATTTATGACATATAATTGCTAAATTATAACATATTTACCCTTCAGCATTTTGCTTTCTCTAAATGTCTACGCGAACTAAACAAAATATTAATAGTCAGAAAAGGGGCATATATATATATATATATATATATATATATATATATATATATAGAAATCACAAAGAAATTCACTTTTACATGGATACCCACTTCCGCCCCAGCCCGGGGTTGAACTCTCGACCTTCGGAATCTGTCTCCTAGCAGTGCAGGAACAGCGCGCTAGACCGCTCGGCTATCTAGGCAAGTCATAAAACTTGCTTTCGATGCCGATGGAATTCTCGCGGCGCTGCACTACACTACACGGTCATTGAGAATAGAAGTGAGATACAGTTATTTGGACATTAGTTTTTTAACAGAGGATTGTTACCAATACATGTTGAAATGAAATTAATTATTATTTATAAAGCACATTTTACAACAACTCTTAAACTAACATAACTGCCCTAAGTGAAGAAATATTAATATAGAAAGCACAAAGAAATTCACTTTTACATTGTGCTTTCTATATTAATATTTCTTCACTTAGGGCAGTTATGTTAGTTTAAGAGTTGTTGTAAAATGTGCTATTATATATATATATATATATATATATATATATATATATATATATATATATATATATATATATATATATATATATATATATATATATATATATATATCGCAATTGATTATCTAAATCCTATAGTGCCCAAACCTAACTTGGAGTTTAAGGCCGTGTTTGTTCTTTTTGAAAAATAGTTTTTCTTTGTCTTGATAATGAAAAAAGTAGACCCTAACTTTGAGCTTAACTACAATTCTTCAATGTTTTAATTAGCCGACCATAATATAGACCATAATTAATACATGCAGCATAATAACATACATGCATAAGTAGATATGGAGTTAAAAATATTCATACCATCAATAATTGTGCGTCCCTAACTTAGAGCTTAACTTCACTTCTTCAATATTTAATTAGCAGACCATAATTTAGAACATAATATACATGTAGCTTAATACATGTAACATATGGAGTTAAAAATATCCATACCATCAATAATTGTGCTAAATGTCATTTGTTGAAAACCCTCCTCCCCAAGACTTAAAGATGTATCTAATATAAATATACTGCAAGGCCCTCTTCCATGTTGATGGCGAACTTCATGATCTGGAGAAGGTAAAGAGCACATCTCTTATTTACCAAAGTTCTTGCGAAAACTCAAAAGTCACAAGATAAGTTTAGTATTACCGATCTACATAAATATGAAGTTGCATGGTTTTTGATGTGTGTATATAAGTAAACATATCTCTTCCTAAATATACCCATTTAGCAATTAGAGATGGTATTGAAATCTAATCTTTTCATGGTATGCATGTTTGTTTTTCTACATGCTCTCTTAAATAACATGCATTTGTTCATAGAAGCGATTAATTAAAAATACATACTCTTTGAAGCCTCAAAACTAGCTTGTTCTTCCCAAAACTCTTGTGCTTTTCTGATCCGAAGGCCATCTACCTAACCAAAGTGGAAAAAGGAGCAGACATTCATTAATTAATGTCAACATGGTATTATAGAATCTGAGATATGGATTTTGAACATTTTAGTAAGAAGAAGATCATGGTTTTGCAGTCCGAAAATTATAAGTTCGTTTGTATGGGATTGAGGTGCGAGAAGTTATTCAAATTAAAAAGTTTATATATTACAATATTTTTTCACATGAAAATTACGAAATACACAAAATATTTATTTCCATAAAGTACATTTTAAAGACTGTATATGATTTTCGTTTTATATACAAAGTTGCTTATCATTTAGTATCGACAAATTTTTGATCCGCGCCTTTTCTAGAACATTAAATTTTTCTTTATCGCATAAAAACATAAGTTACATGTACAAAGTTTATGTTGATATTCTTTACGTCAAATGTATATCTAATGGTAGGTGATTTTTGATTATAATTTATATTTTACTCAGTCAATAGTTATTTGAGGAAATGATAAAGTTTAAAACGGTATCGTATTTTTTCGATATAATCTAATTAAAAGCTTTTCCCGTAGAAAATAAAAAAAATAGACACATTCATATTTGATTTGTAATACATTTTCGGGTCTAAATTCGGTTAATGGCTAATTCAATACTCATAACACAATATGTATCTCAATATAACACTACTGAAGTAAATATATCCTCAAAAATTGAATTCAATTCAAATAAAACATTCCGAAAACGATTCCAATTCAATTATATGTATTTTGTTGGAAAAAGTTCTTTCTTGGGTAAAAGTTTTGCTAATATTGACCTTTTACTCCTACTATTTTCTGCTTTCAGGTCCAATCATCACTGATGTGGTGCATTTTTTAATCAGACTACTGCAAAACTACGCAAACTAGTAAATATTAATTTTGAAACATTGCAAACATGTATATATACCGGACCCCCTTCCCTCAAATCCACCTGTAACTGTCCATTCTTTAAACAAAGAACTTTTGTTATTTCACATCTGGAAACACAATGGCTATTCACAAAATTGCTGTGCATGCCTAGCTTACCTTTGACTGTTTATTCTGTAAACAATGAACTTGACAAAATCAATTATTAAAAGCTGATACCGTTTTTTATTTTAAAATTTTTAAAATTCGTTTCTCATAACAAAGGAATACATGTAAAGAGAAAGGTCGAAAACTGCCCATTCTGTGAGAGAAATAACTCATTTTGGTTCTATGGTCCTCAATTATCGATTAGTACTTTCTCTCACAGAATGGGCAGTTTTCGACCTTTTTCTTTACATGTACATCAATTGGATAGAAAAAGATAAAGGTAATATTACAAAACATGATATGTCTGTATTTGAATAATTCAAATATTGCAACTTTATTTAAAATCAGCAACAAAAAATTAACTTACCAAGAGAATGGTTTGTATTCTTGCGTTGCAAATCACGTTTCCTCGTTTTGTTTTCCTGTTTTGATTTATAATTAAAACAGACTGTATGATATTTGATACAATGTGATATTTGAAAACATTTTTATTAATTATAAACAAAAATCGGGAAATCAAAAACAGTTGTTTGGAAGTAAAAATAATACGGCAAAAAGAAAAATCAATGTCATGTATGAAAAATAACATTATTTCGATTTGAATTGACAGGACTTTCGGTATTGATATAATTGAAAGCTAAAATCATTTCGATTTGAAATTCCATGACTTGCGATATTGATATAATTAAAAGCTGAAATCTTCACAAAGGGATGGTGATGAAAAATAAAAAGATAAACATCCATACAGAGGTATTTTATATATACCTATATATGCAAAAATAGTAAAATCGCTATGGTACAGCATTTATATACATGTAATACAAATTGAAAGATGTTAAATTACCGTGTAAGCCGAGGCCCCTTGTCTGAGGAGGTGCTGAAATGAAAAAGAACCCTCACTGCTTATTGACCCTGAGTGCCGAGTATAGGACAAAATTTGTAGCTCTCCACCGGCAAATGGTGGCGTCTCCATATGAGTGAAAAATTCTCGAATGGGACGTTAAACAACAAACAATCAATAAATGAACATATCTTGATATAAATACATGTATTTATATGCATTATAGTTAAATAATTTATTTCAAGTCAATCGGACGGGTGTACATTGGATTCGAAACATGAGTTTCGATTCTATACGTTCATGGCTGTCACATGTTCGCGTATTTAGCGATACTACGTATTCATATATCCTAGTTAAGCCAATATGCCTCAGTTCATTTGAAGAGTTGTCGAAGGTGAGGTCAAAGATCCTGTTTAGTGTTAGAATGAATCTGTTTTTATTAAAGAAAATAATAGCATAATTCCAATCTTCATTTTATCTATTGATTTCCCGTGTTTTGATTGGACGAGAGCACGTTTAAGAAAAAGTTTACACATCGATGAATTTTTTCAATCAGAACTACTTTCTTGATCAAGTTATCGTATAAACAATGAAAGCAGTTATTTCTGGTCTGTTTTGGCTAAATCATGAATTTAAGAAGCTTCAAATTTAATTGATTAAAACAAAACTGACAACAAACTGGACTGACCAGCTGACGGAGCCATGAAAATGTTTATGTCACTGTCCGATCACGAGTGTGAATTTTAAAAATCGCTGTCTCTACGTTCATCATGTTCATAATACGAAGAAAATCAGCTCAGTTTGTATCGTTTTGACAGGGAAAAGAAACGTACCTCAAACTCTTGCCAATATTAGCATCAAATTCATGTTTACTTTCTATATTGTTCCTCAATCTTTGAACAAACAAGTGCAAATCGAAGGGGTCGTCGGTCTGCAACTTTTGCTATGAGAGTTGTCGTTAATGTCAACAAGGCCATGGTCAAGGACGAACTATTCTTAAGTAAACTCGTAATTACGATATTTGTTGACTTAAACAATATTCGATAAGCCTTTATAAGTTACTTTATCAATTATTTTGACAACAAAAACTGAACTCTATCGAAATTCATCTCGATCATGTTCCTTTGCGGTAAAATGTATTCCTACGCCGTCCAGAAATAACGGATTGTATGGAGGCCTCAAAGAGAAATAATTTAAATCTTTTTTTAAAATTCGATATTGGAATTATAAGAATTAAACGTTCTTTTTGAAAAATTTATCGATGTGTAAACTCTTGACATTTTACTCACAAACTTAACATAAAAGTGCTTCGCACTTTTATTTAGTTTGTGAGTAAAATGTCAAGAGTTTACACATCGATAAATTTTTCAAAAAGAACGTTTAATCCTATAATAAATAGTCTTGTATTTAAAAAAAAAAATGAAATCCAGATATTTTTTTTAAACCTTTAATTCGTTACTTTAACAAATTCATCATTGTCACATAAAAGAAAATCCATAAAAGTTTGATGTTATATTAAATTGAGATCAAAAACACTGAATGCTTATTAAAGTACGCTAAACGAATCAAGGAGTACCGTAAGCACCACATCATCTATCAATGAGAAATTGGCACCATAGTTTGATCAGGTGGATGGAGTAGTCAAAAGTATGAATGCAATGATATTACACAGGAAATGAAACAAAACATTCATAAAACGACCAAAAGATATTTTGTATTTACAACCAAGTTGATCACCTCGTGTTCACTTGAATTAACATAGTCCATAAAAATTGAAATCACTTATAAAATTATATGTATGTATGCTTATTGATTAAATGTCGTAAATATATATGGATATCGAGTTAAGGTTTTTCTCACATAGAATTCTCGATTTAATTTGCTTTAAAGGAATAAAAATGTGGACAAAAGAGGAGGGAAATAAGTTTTTCTTTTTCAAAATTCCAAATTATTGTCGATAGACCTGGTCTCGAGAGGAGATTGATATAGAGGCACTAAAGCGTCATTTTATTATCAACTTCAGAGTACATATATGCAGAATGAAAATAAACAGAGTAATTTTGCATTTTACAATTCTAAAAATAAGAAAATCAACTAGTTCAACATACATTTATATTCAAGAACCAGTTGTCCATGGTAACAAAAAAGCCTGCTTAATAATTTATCTTTCGGATTGATTGTAAAGAGATAGAAAAAGTACAAGGTTGTAGTATATTTTAATACTTCTTATATCTAAAAATTTTGAGATTCTTTAACATCAAAAAGTTTTGTTTTAAAATATATTTCTTTAGTAACACAACTTTTTGAATAATTAATATTTGAAATGAACTATTTACTTTGTATTGACATTCAGAAAGATTTCTTCCGATATTTTTTTCTTATAATTTTAATTGGAACTTTATCTTCTCGTCTAAAAATGTCATGCAAATAAAAATCACGTTCAAAGTTTTTCCATGAGTATATTTCCATGAATATAAAATCTAAATCAATTTTTGATATCAGGCTTGCTAAAATAATTCATAAATTTGTTACATTAAGGACATTTCAATTGAACTACGTATACGAATAAATATTCGTGAATATAATATCAATGTTAATATTTTTACCCAGTTATATTGGTATGAACTAACGGAATAGAATACCGTCTAGCAATTTCTAAATTCCTGCAATAGTGGATAAAAACTTTACAGTTACATCCAATCACTTTAGATTCTACATGCACGAGAACACACTACCACAAACAAACAAAAAAAAAAAAAACATACACAAACCAATCACGATGAAAAGTAATTTTATTTATTTACGACTTTTTAACAATTTTGACTTCTGACACCTCTCTTGTCGTCAAGTTTATCTGTATACCTTTGGCTATGACTACCCTGTATCTAAAATAAAACATTATTTCTATTTGTTTAGAAAGATTCTTAGATTTATATTAAAGTTACAATCAGTTTTTTTTATTTGTTTGGTTTGGTGTACAACGAACTTTCCACTTACGTGTTTTCTTCGATTGTAACAATAACAGTAGAATTAGGATTTCGCTTATAACATCTGTTAAGTTTGTTGTTAATTTCTATCGGATATGGGTTCCATTGACCTTGTTTATCTTTCCATAGCCACTGATCTGATGTAAAGAAAGTTAATGAATTTAACATCTCATCAGCTTCTACATCCGTTGATTGGTTCTCAACTTTTTCGTTTTTGAAATATTTTCCTCTTGGCATCGTAAAGAGAGAAAGTCCAGCATTTGGGGTTTTACAAATCTTAGATTCAAAATCGAAATCATTTTCGGAGGCACATGTTGCTATGTAGAAAAAAAATCAAACATCGATTTTTGAAAAGTGATAATCTGACATTTATTAATTACATGTATATCAGATAAAAGCTCAAAGGAAGCGCCCCTTCAAAAGAATCACTTAAAGAAATGTCCACTGAAAAACCTTTGACTGGGCAATTAATCTCTGCCTTCCTTGTTTGATCTTGGAGGTACTCAACAGCTTCCGGAGAAAATGGGTCACTATAAAAGTACTAGAACTTAACACAATTACTTACATTCAGGTGAGTTAATTATTGCCTGTTATTTATGACTTCAGTCCGTGGCTCAAGATGATGATTCATAAATACTTTATAAACAAAGAAAATATCCGAAGAAAAAATGTGTGTCCATAACAATTTGAATTAAAATTATTAGAAATCAGTATTTTACAAAAGAAAGAACTTTTTTTTAAAATCAGAAAGCAATGATATATACAGCTAGGACGATAATCACCAGATCTCTATATCATATTTTCCATGATATCCAAACCTGTTTTCAGTTTTTTGGCCATTTTGCCATCTTACCTGTAAAAGAAGAAAGCGCTTAGAAGACCTCCCTATCCTATTTGGATCACACGAATAATGATTGAGCCATTCGATATAACGTAAGAGGTTTAAAAATGCTCGTCTAAAAATGCCACAGCTAAACATTCACTGTCAGTGCATTTAATATTTAAAGGATTTATATATACAATCATTGATTTTAACATCAATAGCAAAATAACATTATTTCGCAAGTTTAAAGTATGGATGTTTCGCTGTTTTGGCTCTATAGACTGTAGTAAAAAAATATCGTTAACGCACATGAATTATTCTATTGCTTTTACATCTGTAAACTGATCCAATACTTCCGATACCACCATCCTCGTCTCCACCTTCCCAGTCTGGTCCTAAATTAATATTTACATACTTTTATGTACGTAATACAGTACTTTAAAAATATAGTATTGTGCTTTATGTATAAATCTTAAACCACTGAGCATGTTGGATATTATTACCTCTTTTGACTAAACAGCCTGTAGCAATCATTCCATTTTTTAAAATTCTCGGTTCACTGCAAACTGTTACGTCATATTTATCTCTCGCATACGAATTTGATCCAAATATATAAGGGTAAATAGAACCAGCATCCCATTCCACGTATAACCACCCATCTGAAAGGGAATGGAAACGATCTCTCAGGTTTAAAGATTATTTTAGAGGGATTAGACTTAACTTCATGCAGGAAATGTTAAAGACAACATGTAAGCATGCTGAAAAATTTAATGAAACACAATACAAGTATATAGATTTTGAATAGATGACCTCTTAAAAATTCATAGCCGAGGCCATGTCAGGTTAGTTTACCATTTACACCCACCGCATATCTTTTGTAAGATATTTTAAGAGAGAATTCAGTATAAGAACAAGCATTCTGAGGATATTGCATAAGTGCTACATGTCCCCTATTGGGATCCCCTATTTTCTCTTTAGTAAGTCCTTTATATTCTGTATATGAAAAAGTACTTTCAAAATGTGGACATTTCGGTACTTTTTTGTTCATGAATAAAATGTCTTGGAATAAGGTCGCCTTACAAAGTAAGACGTTTTTAAATGCTATTAGACATACATGCATACTTTGATCAGAATAGCTCATCTTACTTGGTGAATACAAAATCTTATATAAAAAACAAACATGATCAATCGTTTATCACTTAGTTAAGATAATCAAACTATGTCTCAGAACAGTCCCTCACCACACTTAGAATGCCTCCCATATATACTCGCAATGTAGCAAAAATGGCAGAATCGCTCCAAAAAGATTTTGAAGTATACAAAATAATTTGCATTGAAAATAACTACCAAATTAGATTAAACAGACCTTTTTGATGTTTTGTATGCTTTTAACCTAAAAAGAATCTACATAAAGACGAAAATTCAGCCCATTCTCTCAACCTTTTTTCCCTCGCTTTTTATTTACACACCGTTTTGATATTCGGAACTATGCACTGAGCTAAAGTTATCTCCCGTTTTTTCTTTGCTAAATTATTATTTCCAATACACAGTACACAATCTGTCGTTAAACCGGGTCCGTAGGATATATTTATCATTTTAACGATAGAACATTGTACATGTACCTAGTTTGTCATTATAGAGTTACCCTGCAAGTTTCAAATCAGTAATTTTTAACATTACAATCTCGTTTGGATCTTAAATTTAGTGCAGTGCAAACTTGATCTTAAAACAAATAAAAATTAAAAATGCCATAATTCCGTCAAAAATCAGGGAAGCGGAACGAAATACCAACTTGATTTGAATTCATCAAGATACACTCGAATACCAAAAAAAAAAAAAAACAGTCAATATCTTTACGCGTTTAGAAAAAAGGTCAGAAAACCAAATGGGAAAGATTGACAGACAGACAGAGGGACAGACAAACGAATGGACGGTTGAACAGACAGAAAGACGGACGGACAGAAACAAAAAAAACCTATAGTCCCCTCTGGTTTCACCATTCGGGGACTAATAAAAGCATCACCATTTGAAAGAAAGATATCAGGCAAATTGACTTTATGCCAGATTTTAAAAAATAAAAAGCAAGATGTGTTTGTGAAACACTGATGCCCCCGCAACATAGTGAAAGATAAATTTTTACAAATGCAAATCAAATATGTTGGTACCCAAAATAACAGACAGCTAGGCAGACGGACAGACAAGGCAAATTTTCGATTACGGGTGCATGCAAAAAATCTTTGTATCGAACTCAGGGGTTGGAGAATGTTAAATATTGACTCTAAACATAATTTATTAGATTGTATTTGTCAAAAGAAACTGCTCTTGTATATCAATTCAACTGTGGATGATTATTGTATATTTTAAAGAAATTAAAAAATAAAAGACGATAGAAAAGTTAAGTTATCCCAGTTTTCATTAAATTGATTTGTTAGTTTGTCACTGTTGTCTGTTGAATAGAGCAAATTTTAAATATGTTTCCATTTAAAATTTGCTCTATTCAACAGATTGTCGAAAAGCTGGTCTAAAACAACTACAAAGTGACGAATCTATATAGCAACAATTTCTTGATAGTAAAACACATAATAAAGGGAAGTAATCAAAGTTGAACCTCCCTTTTGATTGGTTAATTTGGATCTTGAATCTCGAAACTCGAATTTCGAATCTCGTATTTCGAATCTCGAATGAGCCTTCTGGGCCTTCGTAGGTTTAACCTTGGTTGGAACAGTTTACGCTTGTTTAAAATCGATTTGCGGATTATAAAGTGTAAACTGTAACAACCCATGTTATACTGAATAACTTGGGTAGCCACTAAAATTCCTCAAATAATTTTTGTTGTTGATGATGTAAAAAAAAATTATATACATGTTCCAATGATTTTAGAAACTTATATCACGAAGAAGCGATGATCAGAGCCATTATGTTTCATAATATGCTGGTCTCTTTTTAGGTCACCTGAGTCACTCAGGTGACCTATTGCCATCCGTGTTTGTCCGTCGGCGTCCGTCGTCCGTCGTTCGTCGTCCGTCGTGTGTTAACATTTGAACATTTTCAGCTTCTTCTCTGAAACCGCTGAACCAATTTCAACCAAATTTTGTATACAGCATCTGTGGGTGAAGGGGAACAAAAATTATGAATTTCATGGTCCCTGCCCCCCTGGGGCCTGAAGGGGTGGGGCCAAAACCACTAAAATTAATGCAATCTTTAAAAATCTTCTTCTTTACTCCTAGACGTCAAGCAGTCAAACGGTTTGCATGATTGTAATCAGCAATGAGTCCTCTACTAAAATTGTGAAATTCATGGCCCTGGGGTCAGGGGTTCTAGTGCTAGGGCGGGGCTAAATAAGTAGGTAGTAAAAATGCATTATTTCTTTGAAAATCTTCTCTGCTCCTGGGTATTGAATAAACCAACTAAGTACATAGTTATGATGAGCAAGAGTGCCTCTACCAAAATTGTGAATTTTATGGCCCCATGGTCAGGGGTTCTAGTGTTAGGGCGGGGCTCTATTGATTATATAGTGAAAATACATGAATTCTTTGAAAATCTTCTTCTCTGCTCCTGGGTATTAAATAAACTAACTAAGTACATAGTTATGATGAGCAAGAGTGCCTCTACCAAAATTGTGAATTTTATGGCCCCAGGGTCAGGGGTTCTTGTTTTAGGGTGGGGCTCTAATGATTATATAGTGAAATGCATGAATTCTTTGAACATCTTATCCTTTGCTCCTGGTTAATATGCTAATGATCTAATTACATATTTAAGGCAAGGATTTATTTTATTTTCAGTTTTATAAACCCTCCGCTCAAGGTTTTGAATTTTCAGAAAAAAAAAATACAAAAATTTTTTCTTCTTTCTGATGTCAAATTTGAGTCGGGATCGAGATTTCAAATTTACGAACTCGCACTTCCGCTTTTACGATGAAACAGCGGGTAAATAAAGCTAGGTGACAGGTCTGAGAAGATAGCTTGGTTTAGTGTAAAATTCATCGATAAGAGTGCCATTCAAAACGTTTCACCCGTTCAAAGGACAAATAAAATGCTGACGACTTTGTTGCACAATGACATGCTGGTGAGATAATTATGTATTCGTTTCAAAAGTATCTGTCTGTAAATTATTTTCCTCCCCCGGGTTTTAAACTGCCCGTGGTAGCTATTGCATATTGCCAGCTATTTAGGTCTTTGTTGTAGCTTACAGTATCATTCTTCAGAAAAGGGTTGCTTATGCATCAGATGTAATGAATAAAACTATGGGAGAAGTTAAGTCCATTTGAGGAAGAAATAAACAATAACCTGAAGAAATAAAAAAAAATTAACAATTAAAAGGCAAGAATATACAAATATATACAGGCATTTAGTATCATTTGTATCAGCCAGAAAAATTATTTCACACTTAATTGAAAAAATGTTCACCCTACTCCCCAATACTCCCTGTCTGTTTTATGATAGGAATTATAATTTTAGGCATCAAGTAAATTTTAGAACAATGTCTACACATTCACCTAACATTTTATTAAAAAAATGAAGATATATTGAAAGACTTTTAAAGAATTGATTTTTTAAAATATATTTTGATCAACATCACAAAATTTATATAACTGGCCCAAAATGGCAGATGATGAAATAAGCAATTAAATGTTCTACTTTCCTATTTGAAAGCATTATGTGTCCAGTGGTAAGGAGCCTATTAGGATAGCATAAAAAAAGAATGTACAAATGTTAATAATTGATTTATCAAAAATTTTTTTATTTCCTTCTCCTTCGGGACTTTTTTATTCTCATGTTCATAACTAAACCTAAACATAAAAAAATTCTGGCCTTATAATGAAGAAAGGGGCCTCTTTCAAAATAGATAAATTCAGGGCTGCTGGGTCAGGGGTACCAAGGGGGTACTTTGACTAAAAATAAATTAATGCTTTGAAATCTGCCCATTGATAAGCAATGGTGCCTCTTTCAAAATTTGTGAATTACATGGTTTTTGGATTAAAACACGAACCAAATACAATCGCTGGAAAGTTGTTACATGATACTCAGGTGACCTATAAGGCCCGTGGGCCTCTTGTATTTATATAGAAATTGACGAAAATAATAAGTTGTTAATAAATTTAAAATCTGAATTCAGAATTTCTTTTCGGTATATGTTTTTATTTTTTTTCTCAATACTTTTGTTTTGAGATATCTTCAAAATGATTTACATTTCACGTTCTATATAATGTCCTTACTTCACAAAATTTTGAAATCACTCTTATTACTGAAGCCTATTTCATTTCAATTTCCTTTCACAAGATATATATTCTGGTGTGAAGTTTTCTGAGAAAATACTTCTTTCGAACATTTTGGTAACAGTTACTAGTAAATCACATTTGAAACACACCTCCATTGTTTCAACACTCCGTTGTTTTGATAGAGAAAACAGCATTTCAATATCTTTCATTCTTAAAATGGGTTTTATTTTTAAAATGTGACTGGACTTAAGATTTATCTGAAAATGAATGGAAATAGCTATAAGAAAGCAATATATTACTCTTACAGTTTTTGATAAAAGTGCTTTTAAAAACAACAATTTTAATGATTACAAACAGCTGGAAGAATCAGTATCATGAGAGATTGGAAAAGATTTTGATTTATCACGATAAAATACTGTAATTTTTCATTGAATAAAAATGATATTCTATCATAGTGTGAAAGGATATCGAAATGATATCCTTTCACAATTTGACAAATATCAGAAGTGTGGTAACACTCTTGATTTTCTTTCCAATAACAAAGAATGTCGTAAATAATACTCCTTGGTCCGTTAGAAAATAAATAAACAATTCTGACAAAGAATAAAACTGCCAAAGATCCCCCATATATGTTAATGAAATCCTTGTTTACAACGTTTTCAATCTCATAACACTAAACTAAGACGTCTCTACCGCTCAACTATGACTTCATGTAGCCTATGACTGCATTAGAAAAAGGCAGAGGAAAAGGAAAAAATCAAAAAAAAATTATAAACAGAAAATTCAATGTTTTGAATTGAATCTGGAATTTATTTTAGCGGGACAGGATTTTTTGATATTTTCACGAGTGACGTATTCGAGCAAATTTCGAACAGGTCTCCATTTTCAACTAAAAAACATTGAATATCCTCTATATATGTTCAGATATTGAGATAACAATTTTCATGAACAGATGTTGAACCTTTTGGAATTCAAAACTTTTAAAGAAGGTGTTTGATTGGATCTAATATTTCTAATAATGATAATAAAAACGTATCCTGAATCACCATTTTGATGCCCTATTACAGTTCCAGGTCCATTGTTATCTTGATTATCATATATCCAACCCGGTCCACGCTTGACTCTGGATCCCAATGGCGGCATATGTGGATTTCTCTCGTGAAATATGTCATCATTTTCAGCTTCAATCTCATCTTTTATGTCTTCCCGTGAATTATAGAGTGACTTGTTCGAACAAATTTCAAATATATCTCTCTAAATTAATGAATGAAAGATTAAAATCAAAAGTGTGCACACGTATACATGCACGTTTATTTGATAATAAAATGATTTCGTTTGAAGAAATTTCAATAACAATATTAAAGTTAAAATACATGTACTTCATCATCGAGCATTTTGCAAAATAAGGTATTTTTTGTTTTCCATTTTACCTGATCAATTTCTGTCAAATCTTTTTCAGGGAGTTTGCAAGCCAGTAACGTCAGAATCATTTCACGGTCAAAACCATCATTTTTCATCGTAAAGGATAGCATAGAAGCAATTCTCTAAAAAAAAAAACAACAACAAACAAACAGTGTAATAAAAGCAATTTGTAAGAAAAATAACACCATGAAATTAGTTTTAAGCATGGAATCAAATACATATTTTAAAACTGATACGAAGCGCGTTTTTTTCTTTATAAAAATACCAAATTATCAGAGTATTTAGCGAACTGTCTGGCTTCGTGAGGATACACGATCTTTCCTCCCCTGGACTGAGCACAAATAAATTCTAATGTTACCTATAAATTTAAGGATAAAATTAAAACAAATTATTAGTATCAATATCATTTATTTCTCATCCTTTTATATGTAAAGGAAAATAGGTTACCCGGTATTTAAAAAAAGTTATCATAAAAATAAAAAGAGATTAACCAGGTCTGGATCATTTCCGACAGGTATGCAGAAAATTGGATGTAGCGCCCCAATGTTTCTTGAGAAATGTAGCATTTGTAGTTTATCCTAAAAAGTATATCACGAATTAACAATGAGTACATTTTTTTTACAAACGAAATCAATAACAACGCTTTGAACTTAGTTTAAAGACTGAAAATCTCCTTTTGCCGAAATACGAGTATTCAACATAAATTCTTTAATGTTGTCTTTTGCATGCATTAAAGGTTTTTTCACTTGAGTTTCATTTGAGGGATTTTGACTTTTTCTAAGACTGGTATTGGGTTGAACATTTTCCACTGAATTTCTTTGTGAAGATAAATATACATAGAGACGGTCAAAATGAAAATAACTTTGTTTTAATTCTTTTTTTTTTTACTTTTACCTACATCGAAAATGTAAATCATTCATGAACTGTGATAATTCCTTTACTTTTAAAAACTTATGAACAATTTTTAAAAATCTACGAGGGGGTAAGTTTTTGACAAACAAATTGAGGAAACAATGATATCAATTGTTTCTTTGAAAGCGTTTTCGTCGTTACCTTGACCTCATCAACAAATACAACAAATACAACGCTGATTTACATTTTCACACCTATATTTTTAGGTCGTTATTGCAAGCAAAATTGTTGACGGATTTTTCACGTTCATGACACGAAGCATGGATGGGTGGGATCGGTCGCAGGGAATGCTCACTCCTACTTGGAACCTTATTCCAACACTGATATCTTTTGCAGTGCGAGATTGCTCCACTGCTCTCTTTCCGATGTTAAATATTTAATTAAACTTGAAATTGAATATTGTTCGTTATCTCTAGATTTCACTTTAAAATACTAGTATATTAATTTAATTTTTAGAAGTTAAGGTCATGTATATAAAATTAAAATTTATCCGAAATGCAGTATATAAAAAGTACCTCCTCAGTTTCATAAACAGATGAATCCTCGACATCACTAATGACAGTAAAATCAGTGGGTCTACCGTCCGAAATAAGAATTATTCTTGGATGAACATGAAAGTCTCCCATTATTTTGGTATGTCCTATTAAGGAATGACAATATTCATGAATGACACAAAAGTAAATTGTGTCCTGGTTTGACTGTATTTGAATAATTAGTCAAAATAAGTTAAATGTAAAATAACAATAATCACTACATTCATCATCAGAACTAAGCTTAACACCTCAGAAGTGGGTTAATGTTTATTCAGGGCTTCCGTACTTTGTACTGTTTGTTTCTAGAGAATATAAATAATAATGTTATTGAAATAGTTATGGAAATTGTTCTTATATATTATTCAAAGTCAAAGAAAACCTTACCTACTTCACGGAATAAACACGCCTTTGCTAAGGTAAACGCTGCTGTTAGTGGAGTAAGCCCTCCAAATTCAACGTCGTCTAAACAAAAGAAAAAGTTGGAAATATCTATAAGGGCATTGTGATGAGTATGCTTTTTGAACGTGTGTATGAACTTTTTTAAATGTATATAAATTCTACGAACCTTAAAAAAAAACGAACAGAATATAGTGACTAATAACTCAGCATGTAAAAAAAATATATTAAGAAAATTAAGGAAATTTGTCAAACAATGATTGTTCATGTAAGTTACCTAAGCAATGCTTTATATCTGAGTAGTGGTTTGAGTAATAACGTTGAAATCTGGTGTTCCGTCCACAGACTATAACAGCTACATTTTCGTCGATATCTGGATAATCTGCATAGCCTAAAAATAGTCCCCAAAACGATTGCTAATCAATTCTAGCATAAGTTTTCTTTTATTGAATAACTTTTAGCCATACGACTCAACAGTATAAACAATTCGTTTTTGAAAGGTTATTGATAGTTTTCCAATTGAACTACAAACGATAGTATTATTCTCCCGCCTACATTTTACCTCCAAGTCAATTTTTAAGAGTTAAAATATTCGAACGATTTTCAATATTTCTATACATGTTAATCTATAAATGAATTGTCATAAAATATATATAGCTTAGGAAAATAAAAAGAATAGACGCGGCATAATAACGTAATACTCGTGGTTTTCACCATAGAAGTCAGTGGAATTTTAAAAATAAAATCTCTACACCCTCCCCACGTGAAACAAAAATTCCTTTTTACAGATTTGTTATTTCACAGACCTTTTTTGTGTTTCACTGGGGGAAGGGGTATATTTACAAAAAAAGTTAAAAGAAGTCATTTATAACAAATAAAATGTAAAAAGAAGTCATTTATAATAAATTTACAGTAAAATTTCAAATTAAAGAATAAACTTTCTCAAACTTAAACATTTTTTACATAATTTAAACATACAAAAGGATTTAAGGGTCATTTATCAATTACCATCAATATTTGAAGGGTTTGAGATGTCTGAAAATCCGAATAGCGATTTATAATGAATACATGGGTATTAACATGTAGGTGGGAATCAGAAATATCGTGCGTAGTTCTTATTCACACAGATAAGACAAATTCTAGGTAAATTTCTCCGTTAGTTTTTTACGTTCAAAACAAAATTCTCTATACATATTTCTATAGATAATTTTCATATGACGTATTTTTTCTCTGAGTTATTTCTGTTGGCCGCCATCTTGGTGGTCAACCTGGTAAATTTTCCTCTTTGTCTAACTTTACCAAATGTAAGAGGTTGTAGCAGAAATATTTGAGGGAAATTTTTATGGAATAAAAATTATAAAATAGAGGAGGATTTAACAACTATATATTTTTCGGAAAAACGATGCATCCTACCCAACAATGGCCAGTATAAAAAGTAAAATTTTATTAAATAGTGAAGAAATATGACCATGTTGACCTACATTATGGCGGCCAACGGGACATAAATCTTGTTATTTTGGACCTACTGAAAAATATCTATTATGAAAAAATACACAAAGGTAATACATGTTGATTCCTGACATAAATTTTGAAAGTCCATCTTTTAATTTCGTGATTGCTTTATCCAGCTGACCAATATTGATTGAAACACAAGGCATATAAAAAGCAACAATAGGAGAAACAAAAACAGCTTTACCATCAATGATAGTGCAAAAAGTTTCTTTCATTTGATGAAAACCTTCTTCTCCAAGACTTGAAGATGTATCTAATATAAATATATTGCATGGCCCTCTTCCATGTTGATAGCGAGATTCATGAACTTGAAAACATAAAGAAATGTTTTCCTCTAATAGCATTACATAAAAAAAAAAAACAAAACAGAGAAACCGTTTCATCACTAAAATAAATTGAACATCATTGGCCAGGATTTTCACAGCTTTTCATAGAGGTCCATAGATGTCCTTTCTTTTTGAAAAACTGTGTCTTCCTTTTAAGAAGGGATAGTTTTTTCATAAAAAATGGACAGCCAAAATAAAGCAAACAGAATGGAGAGTCACAGGTAAACTTTTGAATGTACCCAAGAGGGAAACAAAGAAAGCGAAGATCTGAGTTAAACAGAACACAATCTCTGCACAGCATCCGCTTAAATTTATTTTTAAATCCATGAATGATATACAATTATGGACTGTTTAGAACGCTAATGCCCGAGAGTTACAACCCTACTCAGACCTGATAATTGGTGATGTGTCCCGCCTAAACAGTCCATAATAGATTTATTATCCTGAAGAATCTAAATTGTCAATTAAATAGAATAGAAAATAGTACTAGTATTCAAACCTCTTGTGTTCCCCTACTCTGCTCTGATTCCATACTTTCGAAATATGTCAACAGACAAATTTGACGTCCTTGTTAATTTATTGTTTACTGATCCCGCATATTTAACAATTGTACATTTATAATTATAATAAGAGTTATCTCTCTTAAAACACTGTAATTTCATGCAGAGGGCGACAACACAGTTGTAACTGTGCATGCTCGCTTGCCATATTTCATTGTCATCTGAAGGGTGACAACAGTTGTCACCCTGCGCCTAAGGGAGACATCACGAATTGTCAAACCTCACGTGACATGCTCTAAACCAATCAGAATGACTGTATAATATAATTCATAACTCAAAACTCAATGTTTATATAGATTAAAATTAAATGACAGAATTTCACATTTGATTTAAATTCCAAAAATATTCCCTCAAGAAGAATCCTTTATAAGATCAAAGTTAGGCTAATGTTAAATCCACAACCAAGTAAATTTGATACAATGAACATTACAATACCGTAGTTAAAATATCCGTAGAAAATAGATAAAAGTAAAGCATTTCTAAATTCTATTTGAAATACATTTTCAGGTCGAACTTTGGTTCATTGCTAATCAAACACTCAGAATGCAATTGCATCTAATCATTACAATGCTGCAGTCAATATGTTTTTTTCAAAAAATTGAATTGAAGCTAAAAAGAATTCCTAATTTGATCGGAATTCGGTTATCTGAATTTGTAAAAGATCATTTTTAGGTCACAGTTTGTCTGGCATTGTCTTTTACGCTATCTATTCTCTGCTGCCAATTCAAAATATCATTGATTTTTTTTGTATCTTTTCGTTCATGAGATTTTGATTCTGTCTCTTCATTGGAAGAAACGTGTACATGTTTGCCTTTACAACGGAAACTAGAAACTACTGTAAACCAAGTATTAAACGCGTGCGATAAATATCCGCGAGTTCCGCGAGTAACCTCTGCTCGCGGATATTTATCGTCGCGAACCAGTTGTTCATTTTCCCATGTTATGATTAGAGTTATTTGCCCTTTTTTGAATACCAATCCCGACGGATCGAAGAACTTTAGTGTTCTAGAAGTAGTTGAAATTTAATTACAAACATTCAGAAAAAATATATAAACGAATGGCAAATCTAAAACTATTTGTCTAAAAATGATTAAAATGTCAATAATTATTTCAGCTTGTGTTATCATTGTTCATTATTGTCACAGACGAGTTAGAGATAGCCTGGTTAATTACAACTAATTAAGAAGTATACTCATTATAACATTTTACCTACTTCCGGTGCGGATATAAGATTTTAAATGGACGCAATGCACAGAATGTCTTGAATGATAATGCGTAAGCAGTAATCACGGTAGCATTTTACCTAGTTTATGGGCGGATATAAAATTTTAATATGATACAAAAAATACTTGTGGAAATAAAAAAAAATATGACCACTTGTTCGCGGAAATAAATCGTCGCGGATTAGTTCTCTAGCGGTCAGTCGCGAATAAAAAATGACGCGTATAATAATTGGTTTACAGTATAAACTAAGTTTGAACCACGACATCTTGTATAAATACTACTATCCCCTTAAATCCACCTGTAACTGTCCATTCTTTAGTCAAAGACCTTTTGTCATTTTGCATCTGGAAACACACAAGTCTGGCTTTTCAACAAATTGCTGTGTATCCCTATAACTTACATGTGACTGTTCATTCTGTAAATAATGAACTTTCTCAGAACGAAGGAAGTCATTTTTAAAGTAGGAGAAAGGCCTCAATTCTGTCTATTCTGTTAGAGAAAGAACTAATCTCGGGCTTACGTACCGTCCTCGATTAGTTCTTCCTCTCATAGAATATGTACAGTTTGAGGCCTTTCTCCTTAAATTAGTTAAACTAAAGATTTTCAAAGGTTATGTAAATATGTAAATGGAATGAATCATTAATCTTTTTTACGTGTCCTATGAAAAGTGTGTGCAAATCCTTTGAGAAAATACCATATTTCCATGAAAAAATAATAATTTGTATAAATATGCAATAAATGCTTTCTTTTCACTTAATTGTGTTCGATCTACATACTTTTCAATCCTTCAAAATGAGCTTGTTTTTGCCAATGTTCTCGTGTTTTTCTAAATCCGAAAGCCATTTACCTAATCAAAGTGCAATTTTGAGCACATTCAAATTTCATTCGTGTATATTATAATTTACTTCTAGATTATACAATAAAATAGAAAATATTGGAGAGTTAAATTTCTAGTGATAAAAGAAAATATGATATATCTATATTTTATGCTCTATGTTTACTTTGAACAAGTTGTTATAGTTTTCAAAATTTAGAAGAAAGAAACCTTACCTCGACAGATGCTTCCAATTCTTGTGTAGCAAAACATACTTCCTCATTTTAATTTCCTGATCCAATAAATAAATGAAATCGATATAAAATACTGTTTTATGTTGTATTGTCATGGATTATTTAAAAGAAAACCGGAAATCACAATCCATAAATATAAGAAAGTTATAAATATGACATATGAGGAATCAAATATCGTTTAAATATAGAGATCACTAGTTTGGTGACTAAATGTCTTTGAATCATAAACATTGGTAATTAATTTATTTTCTTTTTTTTGCTCTCATAGAATACATATACATCTGAGACAATCCTATGTTATTCGTTATGCCTTTTGATATTAGTATAAATATCGACAAATACTAAAAAATACTACTGAAATCAACAAATACTGAAGTCATACCAAAGGACTGAAAATCACAATCATGAGCATGTAGAAAAATATTATTTGCATGGATCTGACACTTAGAGTAGACAATAATGTGAAATTTATAGAGAAACAAAAAAAGTCAAACAAGTCTTTATCTCTTTTCTAAACGTGAAACAGAAATATTTATGCTAAGATAAGATTAGACATGTTTAGGAGTACAAATTGCAATGAAAAATCTTTTAGACATATTCTTAGCTGGTTGATTTTCAATTTGTTCTTTAATCATTATTTTAAAATGATTTTAAAAAAAGTTTAAAAAAAAAGTATCTTACAATGTGATAAAAAATAAAAACAATGTAATAAAAATACATTTCTACCATTATTTACATAAAATTACATGTACCTATATATTTTAAACCTAGAAGCAATATAGAAAGGTTTTAGTACTAAACAAGTACATAACAAATGAAACAATTGTCAAAATTCTGCATAACAGTGAAAAAGTTGTCTCTTCCATGTTCGCGTTCTAAAATATATTTGTAGTTTGCTTAAAAATGGAATAACGAAGTAAAAAACCCCTAAAATTTTTACATTTTTTCACTCCTACAATTAGTTTGAAAGACTCAATTTCCCTTTAAGCCTGTAAAACGCAAAATTTTTACTAGGTATTAAAGTTAATGTAATGTAAATCCTGTCATAACATTTTGAAATAGGCTATTATACTGAATGTTTTATACACATACATATAACAGTGAACCGTGCGCGCATAAATTCTGCGCAGTCGCTATTTTTTGGAATATCACCCGTCGTCAAGCAATGTTGACTTTTGCTACGCTGGAGGGCGTGGCTTCATTATTCAGTGGGTAATAGTGTTTTTTAACAAATGTTTCTCTGCGACTGCGCAGAATTTATGCGCTCACGGTTCATTGTTATATTTATTTGTATAAAACATTCAGTATAATATAATAAATATTGCATGTAGTTGAGTGTAACATTGAAAATTTACACCCCTCGAAAACCATTGTCAACCTCGGATGCGCCTCGGTTGACAATGGTTTTTTTGGAGTGAAAATTTTCA